CGTGCGGGGTCAGAGGTGCAGCCCCCGCGCCCTTCCACGAGGACGCAGGTCCCTGGCACCTCCCTGGGCACGTCCTGCGTGGGGACCCGAGGGAGAGCCCTGGGCTGGGCTGGGGGGCCCCTGTGCCCTCCCAGCCCCTTCGCAGCTCTCGCCCACTCTCCCCCAGTTCAGCCCAAGGTGAGGGTCTCTGCCATGCAGTCGAGCTCCCTGCCCCAGACCGACAGGCTGGTTTGCGCCGTGATGGATTTCTACCCCGCGGAGATCGAGGTGAAGTGGTTCAAGAACGGGCAGGAGGAGACGGAGCACGTGGTGTCCACGGACGTGATCCAGAACGGAGACTGGACCTACCAGGTGCTGGTGATGCTGGAAACCAGCCCGCAGCGCGTGTGTGTGTGTGTGACAGGGAACAGTGCCTGCAGACACAGGGCAGTCGGATGAACCGGTCTCATCACCCACAGCTCGTCTGTTCCCCCTCCGCGTCGTCCCTTGGTCCCTAGCCCTGCAAGGACACCAGCCACGCACCCATGGGGTGAACACCGGCCTCACGGAGCCTGGCCACCCCCGGGGGCTTCCCTGGGTGCTGGTGGACCCAGCGAGGACTCCCCTGCCCAGGGCCTGGGCCCTGACCGGCGTTGGCTCTGCCCACACCCAGTTCACCGGGGAGCCACACGCCCCAGGGACGCTGCCGGTGTCTGCGGCGTAGTGAGATGGGTCGGGCTGTCCGTGAGCTGTCCTGGCTTTGCCGTGAGGGTGGCTATGTGCCGATGGCCTCTGCGATCCCCCAGGAGCCATGAACGCGTGCCTCCCCCGTGGGGCTGTTCTTTAGAGGTGCTGAGATCCCACCTACATCGGCTGGGCTGTCCTGGGGACACCCTACCCCCTCCCCCTGCCCAAGAGCTGAAGCCAGGTCCCTGGAGCCCTGCCCCACTCCCCCGCCCCACAGATCACCTGGACATCAAGGGGGTTTCCAGAGCTGCGGTCCCCCCCTAGCACGGGGCAGAGAACAGACTCAGGGTGAGGGGCGCACGGCAGGCTCAAGGCCAGCCCACTTTATTGAGGTGACAAAGCAGCAGAGCAGGAGCGAAGGGTGCAGGACCGAGCGCCGAGGGGGTGCTGCGGGGCAGGGCACCCCTCCCCTCCCTTCAGGGGTCCGCAGGGGAGACCCTGCATCTGGGCTGGGAGGAGGCGCCGCGTCCGCAGCTGGAGA